GGGAGGAATGGGGGGAGACAAGGGCAAGAAAAATGCTGCCAAACTGCTACCACTTTGGCAAGGGCTCCAGCGCAGGGCCCAGATCTGCCTGAGCTTGTCCCGCTCCAAGGCCTCCCGCATCTACAATTAAGGTGCCCCACCTCTGCTGCCGGGCACTCCTCCCCCTGCCCTGGTGAAGGAATAGGGTCGCCAGCCCGGCTCCCCACAACTTGCCTGGGGCACCCCGGCCCCCTGCTGCCTCCTGCTGCCTGGGAGCCCCCAGCCAGGCTCAGCAGTACCTCAGCATCCCTCCCACATGCGCCTGGTGCCCTTTGCTGGCTGCTAGAACTGCTGCTGGAGGGCTCTGTCTTGCCCCAAAAGCCAATGGGTCGGTGAGCCTCGCTTTCCAACCTCCCAGCACCCCTGTGTATGGGGAACAAGCCCATTGCTGAAAGGGGAGACTGAGGCACAGAAAAGGGACTGCAAACCACCGCCCACCTGCTCGTGTCACCCCTTGGGCAGCCTGAGCCCAGTCCCAGTGATGCACGTCAAACAGGAGTCACTGGGCTTCTGATGCAACCGTGTGCTCTGGATGCTGTGCCTGCTGTGACAGAGCCAGGGGTTCCTAAGAGACATAATCACCATTTTTTTTCCCAGCTCAGCTCACGGTCATGGGACTTACAGTATGTCCCAGTCTCATTCCCAGCCAAAATCATGGATCAAGGAGCCTGGGTCAAGTCACCATCTTCTTCCTTGGGCATGGGGATGATGTGGAGCAGAACTTCTGGCCCCTGCCAGCAGACCATTACGGAGGGGAGCCAATGGGGTCCTGGTTTGCAGAAACCCGAGTGAGGTTGGTAGAACTATGCAGTGAGAAAGATGATAGTCAGCTTTCAGAAGTCACACTTGCAGAAGAGCACTGGTCATGCCACTCCTTGTGGGATCTGGCAGGCCTGCACCCATTGAGTGCTGCTGCCTGGACACTCCTGCATGGCAAGGGGACTCTGCTCTAGGGTAGTAAGACCACTCCTTGCCTCGCACACAGGTCTCTATCCCAGCCTCTGGAGCCTTCCACTGGGCAGTGCACGTACTAGGGTACCCAGGTCATCACTCTGAGCCCACGGGTAATTCTGCACCCACCTGGAGAGGTAAGAACTGCAGGATGAGAGCCCTGGAGAACTGACCTTCATCCCTGGGGACATAGGTCACCTCACACACCACACAGTGATGTCACACTGAGTGACAGCCTACAAGCCAGACCCAAAGGAAGCCCATCTCTTTCCAAGCTGTGCAAACAGGGCAAGGTGGACACACAGATGAATATTCACCCATCCAGCTTTCCTACAGCCAATGCAGGCGTGTGGCAGGCACTCGGCCCCTCACCCAGGGCGATGCGTGGGTGCTGCCACTTACCAGGGCAGCTGGGTGTGGAAACGGAGCAGGAGGCCCATGAGGGTGTGGTGAGTAAGCAGCAAGTCACTGCCCTGGGGGGCACAGCCAGGGTTTGGCTGCCGAGCAGCACCCGGGGCACTGCGGGAGCAGGAAATGCCATGTGTTGGGAATTGAAGGGGGACCCCATTCCCTGCCCTCCTCCTTACACCTCCTTGGCAAGGATGGCATGCAAACAGCTGGGAAGGTGCCTAAAGGAAAGAGGCTTTGGCATGGCATTGCATCAACCCATGGACCTGCTAGCTGCAGGGTCATGCTGAGGCCAGGCTGTCATGAGGAGCAGCTGCCCAAACTTGTGCTGCAGGTACTGGGGGATGGAGGGAGCATGCACCTGCAGAGGTGGTGGTCCTAAAGCCATGTCCAAACCCTGGGAGGGCTGGGATAAGAAGCCCACCCACTCATGGTCACTGTGTCCTTCTTCTGAGTCTTGACAGAGGCTGGAGCTGGGGTAGCATGAGGGCTTGGCTAGTTCATGCCCAAAAGCGGGTGCCACATGTTGTGGGAGGACCCTGCAAAGCTTGTGCAGATGTCAGGGTGTGCCCCTCCTGCACGGGGGCTGCTTGAAGCAGTCAAGGTTCTGATGCAAAGCCCAGACAAACCCTCAAATTGGGGGCATGTGTAGGGCATGGCTGGCGAGCCTGGGTGTCACCATGGGAGAGTGGATGTGATCAAGAGCAGGGACAAGGGATGGCACTGGGGAAAGTTCACCTGCCTTTGTGGGAGAAAACAAGTAGCCCAATGCTGGAGCCAGTAGTCATCTCAAAGAGTGCAGGAGAAACAGTGTTCCTTTGAGAAACCCAGCAAGTCAGCAGCTGCCCCAGCAAGGGCACGGGGAGATGGCAGCAGGCAGGGGCTTTTCAACTGAGAGATTCATTGCTGCCCATATGGTGCTGCTCCAGGGGAAAAGGCATGCAGGGGAAGGCTGGGCAGCCCAGTCTGTCGGGCGCCGTGGGGTAGCAACTGTGGGTCAGCAAGCCCAGGGGGTGACTCACAAGGCTCACCCCGAGGCACACAGGCAGGGCCCTCCAGCCCAGCAGCCTGCCCTTACAGGCTCTAGCCTTGCAGTGTGGGTGCTGGTCAGGGCTCTGACAGGAGGTGAGACCACTGTTGCATGAAACCACCCAGGGTGTATGGCTTGAGGGACATGGGACCCCCTCAAACAAGGGTGCAGACATATGGGCTGGTGGGAGGGGTCCTCCCTGAGCAACTCTGGGAGAGACCTCCATGAAAATCTGGAGGTGCACTGCCCTTGTGCGTGGATGGGAAGGGGATGGAGGGCAGGTGTCCATCCCTCTGAGCCCCCTCAGACCCACAGCTGGAGCAGAGCACATTTCAGTTGGGATGATTTTCTCCCTTGCTTTCTCTTTCATCTCCCAGCTGCTCTCAGCCATGCCCATGGAGAGCCAACAGGCACCAGGGAAGCTGGCTTTGCTTGCCCTCATCCTCAGAGAGCCTCTGTTTCTGCCAGCACAGCCCAACTGCAAACTGGCTTGGCTGAAATCCTGCCCTCAACTGCCTGGGGCTCCTCAGTCTGCCTGCTCTGTGTCTCTGCAGCCTCTGGGCCAGCCCAGGAGCCCCAGGCAGTCCCTACCTGTCCTGCTCAGGGAGAAATCACTGTTGCACAAGGAGCTGAGTGAGAAATGAGTAAATAGGGGAGGAGGAAGAAAGAGAATTTACAGAGCCGGCGGGAGCAAGGAGAGCCTACTCCCTGCAGCTTGGCACTAATCAAGGTGCCAGCAGCACATGAGTGACATATCTTCCATTGGCACTGAGCACAGCCTGCTCCCTCTCACCATGGAAAGGTCTGTGTCTTCAGTGAGCTCTCTGAGGACATCCTTACACAATGAGGATGCTCTTTCTCAGGCTGCAATGTCACTAGCAGGATGTCAGTGCTTGTACGTCACACCTGAATCTTTTCCCATAGATGCAACCATCTGCCAGGATCCCAATGGGCACAGCTACCACCCGTGAGTGGCCAGGCCAGCCTGCTTGCCTGGGGAGGGCAAGAGACTCTCTTGCTCCTGAGACCCGGCCCAGCTACAGCCCACTGCATCACTCTCATAAATTAGGTTGTCAGTGGGGGCAAAAGCTGGCTTAAACAGGCAACCCTTGTATCCCCCCCACCACATAGATAATGTACTCAGGGATGGGATGGGGAAGTTGTAAAGACATTTCTTCCTTGGCCAAGGGAAAATGCCCCCTTGGCTAAGCACCCACAAGTGCCCAGTGGTGCACACACAAAGCTGTGCCACTGAAGTGCCTATGCATCAGTGACAGTAAAGAACAGCTCTAGCAATGCCACGAGCCCTGGGGCTTCCAGGAACTCTGGCACAAAACACAGCTGCTCCCCTGAGCCCATCCCCAAACAGCAAAAGCCACAGACACCAGTGCTACCCAGACCTGGGAGGGAGGACCAGTATCAGGAGCAGGCACATGGGAAGATGCCTGTCATGAGTGCCCAGACTCCTCTGCCCCACACAGGAAGGGCTCCCTGAGATGATCTCAGCTGGGGTCAAAATACCAAACTCTGAGAGAAGCAGTTCATGAATCACCCAGCTGCCTCTATGCCCTGTCCCAGGAAGCCTGGCACATCCATTTAGTGGTGCTGGTGGCCTCATCCACCCACCACCTCTTCCAGCTTGCTGGCTTCAGAGTGAAGCAGTGTGAGCTGGTGATCCCCCTGAAGCCACTCCACTACCCAGTGCATTTGTCGTGCATCAGGCAGCTGCGTTATTACTTTTAAAATAAAGGTTCCTTTTCTTCTTCTATTTTAAAAGAAGAAAAAGCAAGTTTGACCCCTTGCCCTCCTCTGCCAAATCCTGCTAATCTCCCAAAGTTGCTGCTGCCTATGCACACACGGCACCAGCAGGACCCAGACTCTAGGGTGAGATGCAGTTCTGAGCACCTGGGGCATGGGGCACCGTTACCCCAGCACCCTACCCTTGTTGGTGGTCTCTGCTTGCCCTTGAAAGGAAGGCAAAATGAGCTTCTCCTTCACCTCTACCTGCTCCAGTCACAGGCAGATGCCCTCAAAGGTGGAGCACAGGGCATGAAGTTGGAGTTATTGGTGAGGATGTGTCACAGAAAGCATGGACAGCTGAAAGGACAGCTGTGTGTGTCTGAGGATTAGCCTGGGACAAACAGCAGGGCTCAGGCAGCAGGAGGGCATATGTCCTGCAATGGCACAGCTATCCTGAGGTAGGTGGCGGGCAGTGTGGAGACCCTTCACAAGCATCCTGCTTTGGCTAGGGCTTACCCTACCTCGCTCTCCCCTCTTCTAGCAAAAAACCTAAGGCAAGTCCCTCTCAGCCCCATGTTGAACCCTTGCCTGGCAATAAACAGCGCTTGGACTCCAGGGACAAACTCCCAGCTGATGTACAACTGACTGTAACAGCACATTTATACTCACAAAGGCCTCCACTGCAGCCCTGGAGCCAGGGCTAGCAAAAGGAATGGAGATGTGGAATAAATCACTGGTGGGCAGGCAGGGGACCATGAGGGGAAAGGCTTATGGAGAGCTTTATTTTAGGGGTCAAAAGAGTGTGACAATGTGGAGACGAATAGCCTCAGATAATGAATGATAGCCCGGACGGCATGCCGGGGAGCTGGAATCTAAGCACTTAAAACCGGATAAAGACAGGCTGGGTGAAATTCTTAATAGATTTAAATAGTTCATGTTTCGACAGATACCTGGGCTTTCCAAGGCTGGGTCCCAGTTCTGTGCCTGTAATGAATCCCCCACCCCCTCTGGTATCCTGCAAGGCACCGTCTCTGCTTTTGATGAGGGCACCATTACAAATAGGGGTTTTGTCCCTGCTGTGTCCAAACCACCATTCAGGGGGGACACCGGAGGGACCCTAAGGATTTTAATTAAATTTGACTTATTGGAGGGGTCTGGAAGCCACTAAGCCCCCTTGCCAACCCCTCAGGTATACAAGCCTCCCAGGCTGTGGGCTGGGGGTGTGAGGAAGCAAAGTGCAACTCTCACCACAGGACCTGTGTGCCCTGTACTCCTGGGGATCGCCCAACCTGCTGCCCCAAACACACTTGTGTGCCCAAAGCCTGACAATATGTGGGTGCCCCAGTCTGGCTCAGAACAGCCAGCGAGCAGCAATTCCAACCCCCGCGGTGCCTGGGCGTAGGGGACTCTGATGTCCTCAGGCTGGGGGGGGGAACCACCATCAGAGATCGAGATACCCTGCGTTCCCTCCTGCTTACCCGCGCCCCCGGGATGTCCTACTCACCACCAGAGCCCGATGATGTTAGCGGGGCAGAGGAGGATGAAAAAGAGCCCCAGCTGGGTCCGGGAGAAAGGCAGCATCCTGCCAGGACTGAGGAAAGCGTCGAACTCGCTTCACGCCACTCGCCGGGAGCCGGGCACCCCCG